CTCTAATAAAATACAAAATAGGGCTGGGGCTGGGGCTCAGTGGTTGCGTACCCCTGAGTTCAATTCCTGGTACCATAAATAAATAAATAGGGCTGGGGATGGGGCTCACTGCTAGTGTGTCCCTGGGCTCAACCCCTCGCAGCCCGCAGGCTAGCTCCCGGGTCTCGTGTCCACGCAGCCGGCAGCTCTGTCTGGGTCTTTGCACCCTAAAGAAGGAGCTCTGTGCTGGGCTCAGGGGCTGGTCCCTAGTTCACTTGATTTTCTATTACATTATTAAGTTTTTAATTTTTATCTTAGTTGTACCCGACAGTAGAAGGCATTTTGGCAGAATGATCCATAGAGCATACTTACTCTATTTAGGATCCCACTCCTGAGGTTGCCCATCATGTGGATTTGCCTGGTCATGTATGCAAATCAAGGCTAGGAAAATTCTGACCAGTGGATTCTACTCTCTCCTATTCCCTCCTTCTCTTCCTTCCCTTCGTTTCCCTTTTCCAGTTCAACTCCCTTGTTTGGGGTTAGCATCCACACATCAGAGAGATCATTCTGCCTTTGGTTTCTCGGGATTAGTTTACTTCACTTAGCATGATATTCTCAGTTCCATCCATTTATTGGCAAATGCTATAATTTCATGCTCCTTTATGGCTGAGTAATATTCCACTGTATACAAGTACCACATTTTCTTTATGCATCCTCTATTGAAGGCACCTAGATGGTTTTCATAGCTTGGCTACTGTGAGTTGAGCTGCCTTAAACATGGATGTGGCTGTGTCACTGTAGTATGCTGTTTTTAAGTCTTTTGGGTATAGACCAACTATTACATTATTGATTTAACAGGTTCAAATATTGTTTGTGAAAAGCAAGGAAACTGGTATATTTTTATGATTTTCTCCTCTTCCCCTCCTGATTTGTAGTAGTGTTTGTAACACTATAATTCCGCCCCAACACCATGACCACTTTTTTTTGGGGGGGGTCTCTTCTTACAGTTAACAGAGTCAGTGTTCCCATTGAGTCCTCTTACTATATATATTTTTGGAGGTGTCTCGACCCACGTTCATGATCTAATCTTTTTATTTTTTTCAAGAAGAGCGAGCCTGGGCCAGGCAGCTCAGTGGTGCAGCACTTGCCTAGTATGCTCCAACCCCGGGGTCGTATCCCCAGCAGTGCAAAAACAAAACCATTCTATTTTATTGCCAAATAATATTCTATTTTATGGATATAACACATTTCATTTTACGTACTTCTCAGTAATGAACATTTGATTGTCTCCATTTTGGCGATTCGGAATAATGCTGTTTTGAATCTCTTGTAGTAGAGAATTCTGCTTAGTTTCTTGAATCATGGCACAATGTTTGGTCATGAATTCTGTCCGGTGGGTGTTTGTGCCATCCCCTCCCCCACTTGTTTCCTTGCTGTTTTATGCTGTCTCTGGACCTCGTGCCAGTCCGTTTTTGACGACTCGTCTGTGAATGAAGTGAGTGTTTCCCAAACTAACTATTTGCGGGAAGTTTCAGTGAAAGAGACCCTTGGGACTGTGCCCCACGCTGGCAGGGTTTTCCCTGTAACCTGGGATTTCCTGAGTTCCTTTAGCTTTTCTTCTCCTTGGCCAACAGGGACAGGCAGCCAGAGGACTGTCTGGGTCGTTCTTCTACCACCATCACAGGAGCAGACTCTTGCAGCCAAATGTCTGGCCATGAGATTCTTTGTTCGGGTCC